TGAAATTACTTAAACCTTTTGGTTGTAACGATTTATCAGTAGCTTCGTTAACTGAAGAGGGGTCTGGTTTTATGGGGTAAGGCAATGCAACACGAAAGAGAACTTTCTATGGGAAACTGGACTCTATTTACTGTTATATACGAGAATATCGCGCTCCCATCAATGAGCTAACCAGATGTTTCCCGGGTTTTATTTACGTGTCTAAGATATAAACTGAGGCCAGTTTCCCTTAGAGAGTTTGCCGGAAGGCATTACTCTTTGGTGGATAGCCAATGTGTTAAGTTGCCGTATGCCATTAACCTTAAACCACTCGACAAATGGCGCGCCTCAGTAAATTAATACAGTAGAGCGTCGAATATCCGAAAGTCAATCATCCGAAAGAATTCCAGTCGGCAAATTTAAATTTTCGCCAGAGCTGTGGTGCTTCAATCTTAGGCTATGTCTTGGGCTACTCAAATATTTTACGTTTTTGATACTAAATTAACATCTGAAGTATAATTTTTTATTATTTTTATATTTTTCAATATATTTATTTTGTTTGTACAAAATAAAAAAATAATTTTTAACGATACAATAGTCTTTGTTAGGCTTAACATCGACGAAAATTCAACGCGAAGCGACACGCAACGGATAAAAATTTCGACATCAGATACGTTAAACTATTTTTTCGTACGTAAATCAGTTTTCCGAAATATCAGTTATCCGGACAACCCCAGTCCCCAATTGATTCGGAAAATCGACGCTCTACTGTAGTCATGTACACTAGGTTTACAAAAGTATTTGGACATTCATGTTGAGAAGGAAAAGTGATACAGTGGATGATCGGTTAACGAACAAATCGGATAACAAACACTTGACTGAACAAACATAAGAAGGAGTGACGTAAAATAATGAATACGAATTGGTTTTCCTTTGTCTTCAGGCAACAATTTGAAACTTTTTGGAGCGCGGGTGATGTCAACATCGATGTTCTACCCGGTATATACTGATCGGATAGTATTTCCCCGAACTTTGAAACACTCCCTTCTAATTCCAGTTCTTGTAATATTTCTGACAGAAACAATTCTTTTATGTTTTCTTCTGAAAATGTGGATTTATGCTGATATCTGCTATTAAAAATCTTTTGAAGAAGTGGGAGGATGTCAGAACAATGGTTTTAAAATGGCATCCAAACCAGGTTGAGGTTAATAGGCCTAGGGATCGCTACAATTACAATGCTATTAATTACTTCTGAAAAATCATGAAGAAGACAGAAAAGCAATTGACATTGGACAGATTCTTTAACCCCACAAAAGGAAAAACACATGACTAATAAAAATGCAAGACCATGTATATATGTATTTTTATTATTACATATGAATAAACTTAGTAAGAAAGTATATATTTTTTATTTTTGGGGGGTCTGAAGAACGAATTAATCAAATTCCCATAGAAACCTATGGTAAATCGATAATCATTTAACGAACAATTCGGATAGCGAACAAAGTCTTGGAACAGATTATCTTCATTAACCAATCACCCACTGTATTTGTTTGCTGAATTTAGTACATGGTCAGCTTGTCTTTGGGCCTTAATGACTTCTGCAACCCTGAGGCATGTCTTTCATTTGGGTAAATATCACCAGGAATGTTTTCCATTCATACTGCAAACTGACTGCAAATGCAGCTATTGATGAAGGTTGTGTCATGACATCTGATGGGTTGGTTTCAGATGGGACTCTAAGCAGACCAATCCAAAAGTTAACGCCTGCTCTTGAAACCATACCTGGATAGAACATGCAGTGTGGCATTGTGCTCAGTTATTCCGAACACACAAGGATCTGTACTGAAGTACTGCTACATCATAGGCAGTGCCAAATTGTCCAGAATGCCTTGGTAAACATCGACATTCATAGTAGTTGGCACCAGAATCAAAGAACTTAAGTCTGTGCCAACAGAAACAGTCCCAAGCCATATCAAACTCTCTGTCACATTGTACCGTTGGAACAACATAGTCATGACTGAACTGTTCTTCATGCAAACTCAAACTCACCTGTCTGATTGGTAATGTCTAAAGTATGATCCATCACTCCACATGACTTTTTTCCAGTCAGTCTTTGGTCTAGGATCATTGTTTACACCATTGGAACCATCAGCTCCAGTTCCTTTCCATTGACAAATAAAGTTGGCAACAGTGAATTTTGGAAATTTCAGAAGCCTGGAAATGCTACTTACAGACCAATTACTGTACATCCAATAATCATGACATGCTGAAAGTCAGTTATCTCCTTTCCATATGGCATTTTAGCAAATACTAACCTCCAGAAGTGAGCAAAGTTATGCAAATCCATCTGATCATAACACAAGCAGAAGGAAACTTTTTGAACCATTTTTCATGATATAAATAACATTCACCCCATTTTTTCAGTGTCTGAATACAGGTAACCCCCGCATAACACGGCACTTCTATAGCACGGATTCACTCTAACACAGTTCAAGAATTGGTACCATCCCCGTATAACACGGTACTGTGACACGGTTCGAGAATTGGGTAAAACCCTCGTACAACATGAAATGTAATAAATTTTTACATACTTAGGAAATAATAGTTCACAAAAATTATTATTTTCGTGAACTATTACTACTTAAGTATGTAAATTTTCTTTTCCTTCTGTCGATACACATGGTCCTTCTCAAAACTTGTTTCAATGTTGCCAGATCTCGACACTTCTGCTTCTGATGTTGCCAGATGTTTTTCACTTATTCCATATTTGCTTTATTCTTCATAAATGCTTAGCACCATATAAAGCAATTTATAAAGATCTTTTAACTAAAAGCAAGCGATCTAAAATTACATACTTTTCGCAAAAGGTAAAGCATGGATCTGAAGATAATGCAGAAAAATGCNCAAACCTAGGGTTATAAACACTCCTGTTTATGAACAAAATTTTGAATGCCATATTTGCTCCAGTTACCATATGATAACTCCATTTCTAAACAAGCTACTTGGCAAGAACCATCCATTGATGGTGAACTCCCTATACTTCCTGTGATAAAGAAAGTTGACAGCCCAACTGGTCAATGACAGAACTACCGATTCAGAAGTTAGTGGCACCGAGATTGCTTTGCATCATGTAACGAATCATTGATTATGCTTCTATTTAAATTACATTTCAGTACTTATGCTATTTCCATTTTTCGGTACACACCATAGTTGAATTTAAATCAAATTAATTAATAAAAATCATATTAATTGGCACTCACGTAATACAAATGACATTCCAGAATTCATGTTTAAATATGCTTAAGTTAAATTAAATGACAAAACTTTATTAATATAATATAAAATATATTATAATATTAAATTAATATTTATTAATAATAGGTAGCCAGTTAATTAAATTAAAACTGATAATTAAATTTAAAAATAATAATTAAAATTAGCCTTTATACCTAAACAAAAAATAAAATTACTTAATAAATTGAAATCAAATCAATTGAAACACGATATTTCAGAAAGTGTGTATAAAGTACTTGTCAGTCTTGATAGATTTGGTTATACTGTATTTCATCTTGACAGAGTTAAGTCTCTGTTTATAGTAGTACTTCGTAAAATGTTGATTTTGGTTTCTTTTGGCAATGAGGGAACGTTTTACTTTTAATACTATATATATAGAATAAATACAGATATAGATACAGAAATATTGTATATAATATAATATTGCCTTTAAAGGGATTTTATGCATGAAATACAGCTAACAAAGGTAAAAAACAGATTTTGTTTTGGTGATCAGGAACAGATTAATCTATTTTACATTTTATTTTAATGGGAAAATTTATTTTGGTTTGAGAACAAATCGGTTTCTGAACGACCTTTAGGAACAAATTAAGTTTGTAAACTGGGGTTTTACTGTGTTGTTATTGTGCAATCTTAAGCAGAAAAAAAAAACACAAGACTATTATTATTTTTATTTTATAAGTAATAGTTTGTACTGTTAGATAACAGAAATTTTCATTTTTCTACATTTTCAGTGAAAATAATGAAAATGAAAATTTCTTATGCATATTTTTTCTGGAACTGTTGAAGGAATCTTTAGGAACTTGAAGTACACCTGAAATCTTCAAGAGTTTTGCAGAATACAATTTGAATATCCCCTGCTTCAATTTACAGTGATGCCTCGTATAACGGACACTGTGAACGACGAACTTTCTGTTTGGCCGTTACATGACTCGAGCAACAGACTGGCTGCAAACAATGGACTTTTCATTTGGCAGTTATGTGAGGCAAACAATGGACTTTCTGCAAACAAGTGCAAATGATATTTCCAATGTTTTGCTGTTGTCAATGGCAATCTGCTATTATTAGAATATCTGAAGTACAGAGCTCTCGTTGGGATCAGCTTACTCCCTTGTTTATTATGTACTGTACATCACCTTAGTGCAGGTATTTAAATTTATTCAAGTGTTGTGCAAATCATGGCTTCTAAAAAAACATAAAGGTGATTTCAATTGAAACAAAACAAGAAATCATCAGAAGGAGTGAAAGTGGGGTAAAACAGTGTGACATTGTCAAAGAGTTTGGTCTCAGCAAGACCACCATCAACACCTCTCTATTAGGGTCTTGCTCTTCCACAATTTGAAAATTATTGCTTTAACTGAAAATTATCATTAGTTAACTTTTTCAGTTAAAGCATTTAATATTTTTACTTTAGGATATCAATATATGGATTTGTGTTTAATAGTATGTCATAAATGAGTCATACGTAAGCTAAATTTATTTAATGATTATTGAAATCAGTCTTATTTTTATTGAATTTAATATAAATAAGTGTGAAGTTTGTTTTATTTAAATAATACTGAAACATTGTCTAAAGTTTAAAGTTATGTCATATAATTTTATCACATAAGAAATTTAAAATTGCAAAATGTAATTATTAATAAAAAGTATGAAAATATCAATAATCTTGAAAAGTTATTAATATTTAATTTTTATTTTAATTATATATTAATAAATTATTATAGAACAAATATGGAAATTAATGAAAACAATCTAAAGACCTTGGCAAATTATCTTCAAGAGACTTTGTCTCCAAATGTTGAAGTTCGAAGGCCAGGTAAGTGTTTAAGAATAGTTTTGACTATTATAATTTTCTGATTTTAATAATTAAATTTAGAATAAAATNACGTGTTTACGGATAATATTTTCAAAAAATTTCTTTTTACTTACATTAGCAGATTATTAATTAAATACAAATTGAAATTAAAAAATTGGGCCATTGGCTAGATATAGTTATTATAAAATTTGCTTTAAAAAGGTTGCTGTATAAGATAAAAATAAAGTAGATAAGTAAAAAATTAAATAAATAAAATCTTAATTTGATGGGTAGAATTATGAGTTGGATAAGGTTTAAAACAAATTTTTGAATACAACTAATAAATATAAGTAAAAAATTAGGCTTAAACACTTCAAAATAGTTGAAATTAAAAGCTCTTAAAACCATTATAAAATTTTACAAATTACACTGTGTGAGATCAACATAAATACAATACAGTGTATTATAACCAGATGTGTATGCCACAACATTAAAAAAATAATAATAATAATAAAACGTTTTATAACATTTAGATGTAAACTTTTTGGTTTAAAAAAGGAAAATGTAAAGTATAGTTAAAAAATGCACTTTCCAGTAAAATTGCCAATATATTATATAAAAATGTCAAATAATGCTACTCATCATTTTTTTTAAAATATTATTTGTGTTTTAATAATTAGTGTAATTATATAATTAAATAAGTGTTAGAATATTTCCGTTTTCTCGATTGTGGTATGTGGCTGCGGCTAAATAAGCAGTTTGGAAAAGACATGGTGTCAGCTATCTGTATGACCACTGTCTCATTATAGGCGCTCTATTTCTGCTTTTACGTATACGAACTTGTTTATTTAAATTAAAGATGGATTTATTAAACGAACAGTACCTGTTTTCAGTGGTTCATGAACACTTATTGCCGTATTAATGCTGCAATGAAAAGGCCTACCTTTGTATTGATGTATATTGTCTTTATTTTCTTGCTGGGGCACAACCATCATTGATCAGTTGCAACTAGCGAACAATGTTCCCTCTAAGCTGCGCGGCTGTGCGGCCGCGCTCTGCTCAAATTGTTGCCGCGCATGAGAATTTATGTACTGCGCAGGCGAGCATGCACACCGATTTGAATTCTTGTTTACTTATTTCTCACTCTTTCTCACTACATATTATTTATTGTCACTGATTAAATACATTAAATCAGTGACAAAAGATAATATTTCGTATAAATGTATGTTTTAAAATGAATTTTATTTTAATTTTTATAGGAAAAAATGATTATATATATATATATGTATATATAATCTTATTTTCTGAGCATATATATATATGATCAGATTATATATGATTATATATATATATATGATCAGAAAACTTTTTTGCTTAGAATCTGCTCAGCAAAAATTTTTTTTGCTCAGAAAAGTATGTGTTCTGCTCATTGACAAAAAAAAATTAGAGGGAACATTGCTTGTGATATACTGTACTGTGTTTATTTTTGTTATTAGATCTTTGGTTATAATGTTGCAGGTGTTCAAAATTGGTATTGAGCCAAGAGAAAACAGTATTCTTACAGCTGCAACATTATACTCAGGCAAGAAAGTACTACTTACAAGTTAGTTCTTTGATTTTTTCATGTATAAAGGTTTTCTGTATGTCTATCTTTCTTCTTCTGGATAAACCAGAGATAGTCCACAATATTGTATTCTGCTTGCATTTATTGATAATGTTCCATATTATTACATTACAGTGATGCCTTTACTACAAATGTAATTTATTTCAGGAAGCTGTTTGAGCTATGAATCATTCAAATTCCAAAGCAATTTTTTCCATTAGAAGTAATGGAAAGCAAAGTAATCTATTTCTAGACCCTAAACAATACCCATTTTGATTTACTTAAAACAGCAAATACACATAATTTAAGATAAAAATAACACAATTAAATACACTAATAAAAATTAAAACATGAAAACATTATCTTGCTAGAAAATGACTTTTGCAATCAGACCATAAAAGGCTACACATGAGGATGGAAGATTTCCTGAATGTATTACTGTATCATCATCATCAATGTCTCTTGCACCACTACTAGAGATAATTGACTGTCATATGAGATGGTTTCCCAGACTAGCACTATAGTGTTACTCAACAGTAAAGGCAGGACTGAAGTGTACTTGCCAGAGGTTCTCCACATGCTAACACAGTGAAGGTTTGTTCCTGAACAGAACTGGGATTTGTTTCTAAAGATTGCCAATATATATCATTTTTCTCTGTGACAAAACCACTGCAAACAAAGCCAATGATATTGGGGTGGTAATGGTAGACAGACCTCAGAATCGCTGACTTTTCTCCCCTTTCAGGTCATTTTCTCACTTTTTTAATCATTTCTACGTGCTCAATTAAGATGTGGGACCAATCAAAAATAATTTTAAAGCTAAACGATCTTCCAAATTATCATACTATCGGACTAGAATTTTCTGGAAGAAAATACTCAGCCCTGAGTGGGACTCAAAATCGCAACTTCTGCTTAGTGTTGTTAGGTTATAGGAATGTAGGTCTTTCATGCACTTAAAAAATCCCTCTTGTTACAAATTCAGAAGCCAAAATTGAGCCAATATCAATTAAACTTATGTACTCATGCCGTATTGTCATTATTAGTCAAAATGTAGTTCTTCAAAGTTGCATTTTTATCTATGGGGATTAAAAATAAGCATTTTAAGCATTCCTATGTTTTTGGCTGTTTTCTAAGAAAATCCTTTTGTATGGAAAAAACATGCCGTGCCGAGGGATTAATCTTTCAAGCTGGCAACACTGCTGCCGCTTCTAAATTTAAAATATATTATAATTATTAAAATTAACATGAGACAGTGGCATAACTTCCTACCTCTAGACAAATTATTTCATTTTTGACCATTTAATTATTTTTGTTATAGCCCAATAATTTGGCAAATCATTTGGTTTTAATTAACAATTGGGTTATGGAGTTGTCATTTACAAGAATATTTTTTACTTTATATATCTTTAAATAATTTCATAAACTTGAGTTAAATAGAATAAAGTTATTTTAATGATTTCATAGCATATTGTTAACATTTAATTACGTCTATATATTCCTAAATGTATGTATAAATTGACTACAAGTATAATTATTCTGGGTAGTAAGTATTATAAGTATTTATAGTTTACTGGAAATACAGTAGCTTCTTGTTATATCACGCTTGTCGGGAGACAGAAAAAAGTACGATATAACTGAGTAGTAAAAATTCTGAGCTTATACTAAACAGATTATACATGCTATGCAATCAGCTTAGTTTTTAATACTGAACTTTATTCTTGGTTATATTGTATTAATTGACATTTACATAAACATTGATACCACCAACGCACATATAGCATTATTTCTTTAACAATGACATATAAAGACAAATACTATCGATATAAAAATGAAATATCACTTGCGATTTTATTATACAGTATTTAATAAGCGATTTATTGTGAAAATAAATCGCTTATTAATAGAACCATCAAACCTTTTAAAATTACAGAGAGTAAAAATTCTCTAAAAAACAAAATAAAGTTAGTTCTGTATAAAAACTTTCTGTTCAGAATTAAAGAAATCTTTCTTACACATTATGCAGTGAATTCGAAATTTCACACCTTTATGTGAATTGATGCAATACCTTCAATTTTCATAAAGGTGTAAAATTTCAAATTGACAGAAACTTGTAAATAAGGAGATGGTACTTAAAACTAATAAATAAACAATTTTTAATATCAAAACGAAACAAATGACAATTGATATATCTATCTGTTTTGCATATATAGATCTTGACGAATTTATTGTTTCACCTTCAGTGGTAGT